CCCGGACGAGCCCCCAAAATGTTGCGCCCGCGGCGAGGACTTCGATTATTATCGAAGCCGCGCACGGAAAGATCGGCCGCTCGCGAGTTGCGCGAAATAAATAAACACTTTTAAAGAACTAAAAGCTTTAATTCCCAACACAGGGCAACACAAACGTTAACTCAAAACGATTCAACACACAAATTAGCGGCTCGGTACAAATTCGCGTCCGCGCAGCCAGACAGCTGGAACCGAACTCAGCTGACAGTCGTTGTTTGTAAATAATCTTCTAGCCGACGGGATCCAGACAACGGCAGGGCCGTGACGACTCGGGCGCGCGCGTAACAATATTATAAAAAGATATATAAATTAAAAGGGAGGACACGCACGGATATAAAAACACAATAATTAACAATAATTAACGATGGAAAGAAGAAGAAAGGAAGAAATAAATTGAGCTGTATGCAACATTTTACAAGCTTTTTATATTATGATTCACGCGATGCTCTGATTTACTGACGAAATTATTATGTAACATTAGGTAAAGCGATTTCGATTTCACAGGGTCGCGCTATCCAGCTGATCCAATCACAATGGATCGATCTTTCGCTTTATTCTGCACGATCTGTAAAATCTTCTCTCTCTCTCTCCCCTCTCTCTCTTTCTTTGCCCCCCCCCCTCTCTTTTTGCGTAAGTTAAATATGCAAGTCCTTTTTTCTTGTGCTTGCTATTATCGATAATGAGATATATACAAGATACTTTCACGCCCTACTTTTTTCTCTAGTCTACTACGATTCCACTACCCTCAACAGTACACATCGAAAGGAAAAGCTAAAATCAATAACTTCGAAAAAATGAGATAAAAAAGGAAATGCAGGATAAATTGTTGGCCTTTTTTTCGTGCGATTCTTATACAACATCTTGAGATTAGATAATTTTATATTTTTTATTAAATGAAGCAACTGGGCAACAAATCATTTAATTGTTTAATAGATAATATTATTTAATAGATTTGATGGATGATAATTGATTGTTATATATATATATATATATATATATATATATATATATATATAATTGATTATTTTATATATATATATATATATATATATATATATATATATACACCTATATACCTACATACATATACACATATTCCCAAAATATAAATATTATACAAATTTTTATTCATTTTTGTAAAAATATCAAGATAAAATTAATAAAAATATACTATTTTTTTAAATATTACAGATATTGCTCCATGATAGTGGAGACACGTATAGAGGAAGATATAGTTAATTCCGAAATTTTTATTTTCGATTGTACCAATTTGACTTTCGGTCATGTATTGAAGTATACACCAGTTGCAGTAAAAAAACTCGACATTCTTTTGGTATTTAAGAAAAAAATTTCTTATATGTATATACTATACATATAATATATACTTTACAAAAATTAATACATATAATTATACATATACTTTACATAAATTAATTTTTATTATTCAATCTATATAGGAATCATACGGTTCAAGAATAAAAGCAATTCATGTGATAAATACACCAAGTTTTTTTGATGTCTTATTGACAATAGTTAAATCAGTAATGAAGGCAAAGCTTGTTAACCGAGTATGTTAACCGAATATAATTTAAAACTAGAAACTTTGTATTTCATGTGTATATGGATTGGATTAATTATACAGTTTTAACTGCAATTATAATATTTTAGATACATCTTCATACGTCCGGAATAGAATCAATATATGGGATTATACCAAGATCTCTTTTACCAGTAGAATATGGCGGTGAACAACCATCACTGAATATTTTATCAGGTACAATATTCTTTACTTCTTTAAAAATATGTTTTTTTATCAGTGACTTTATTTCGATTTTAAATATTTAAAACGAAATGTTAAAAATAAATGATAACATTTTCACTTGAATATTAATCAATATGTAATAAAAAATATTATCTCTCTTTAATTTTCATGTAGCTTAACAATAATTATTTTATTTTCACAAAAAATTCTTTTAATTAAATATCTAAACCTAAGAATTCCTTTAATTATTTTATATGTATTATATGTGTGTATATATTGTATATGTATATTTAAAACATTTTTTCTTGTATACAAATAAATATATTTATTATATATTTAGAATGTAAAACATATACTAAAAAATGTTCAAATTTCTTTGATATTGTTTCAGATATGTGGAAAGCAAAATTGATAGAACGAAGAGAATGGTTCCTGAAGGAAGAAAAAGTTAAAGTTAACGAATCTCTCCGATCAAATTCTGCAATAAACCCGGACGATCTATTCGGAGTTTCTGGAACATTTCGAAAATTAGACATTGATTAACGTGAATATTATTTTAAAGATATAGATAATAAGATTTATGTTATCGGATATATACATACAGATATATGCACACATTATAAATAGTTATATGTAATGTAAGGGATTCTTAAAAATATTAATATTCATAAAATAAAATAAATTTTATATTGACATTGTACGTAAAAAATAAAACTTATAGCATACCAGTAGGAGATTATTTAGGCATTATCATAATAAATGATAAGTATATGACAAATTACACAAAAAAATGCACTGAAAAAAGACAATAATTGCATAATAAAAAAAATTATAGTTGAGTTTCCTATTTTCAAAATTATTACTACTATACATTGATAATAATAACCTTGTGCATAGTAATAATAACTTTAAATATAATTGCCACTAAAAATATATTTATATAATTTATATATATTTATGATAATTATATTTTTAGCAGCAATTATATTTAAAGTTATTATTACTATTATGTGTGTGTGTGTGTGTGTGTGCGTGCGTGCGTGCGTGCGTGCGTGTGTGTGTGTGTGTGTGTGTGTGTGTGTGTGTGGGTGTGTGTGTGTGTGTGTGTAATCATTGTAATCTTATATGATATACAAATTGTTATTGCAATATTTTTAATAATTATTATACATCTTTTTTTTCTCTTAAAGAAACTCTTCTTCTTCTTCTTTAAAAACCCATGTTTGAAAAGCATCATTTAGCTATAAAATAAAATAATCCCCTTACATGTTATTTTTAACAGTTAAATATTGAATCTTGTAATTATAAATTATTTTACTATCAGTTGTCGTGATTGCGAAACAGACAAACGCTCGATAAAACACGATTGAACACATAATTCTAAAACTATCGATGCTGTCGATTATATTTCAAATGTGAGACAAGGGCAGCATTGTCGAGTGAAAGGGGATTGTATGTTATAGATATGTTCAAGTCCTGAGGGAGTAGACAGTGAGGCCAGAAGCACGATAATGGGGATAATAAATGGTCTCGGACCGCTCTTTGCAATTCACCCTTGGCCCGTTGAAACCTTTCGAAGAATATGTACCATGCTGAAGTCGCAATTTTCACATATATATCAGCTTTTATTAATATATGATACTATCAATTTGTTGCTGCTTGTAAAGTCGCGCATAAACGTATAAAACTTATAATATCATTTCTTACAGAATATTAAAAAAGTAAACAGTAAATTATACAATATTAATAAATGTACAATATTAATAATAATATTAATAACAATAACAATATTACTTTAAAATTAATTCATATATGCGATAATTATGTATATAAATAAATCATCTTTTATTTGTAATATAATACATTTATAATACATTTATATATTTAAAGCAGCTGTTATGAAATGGATAATTAATTTGAATCTCTTATATATTTTGATATTCATTAAAATAAATTTATATTTCCTAAAAAAAAATCAAAATTTCACAAAATACTCATACATAACATTTTTTTAATGCTACATAAATATGCAACGAAAATCACATATACAGTAAACAACACTTACTGTATTATATACATATTATTCTATATATCATTGTAAAATAAAGACTTTTTCAAATTATAACTTTAAGAAATAAATACTGTTTTGCTACAGAATTAATAGCTGGAAATCAATAGTCATTGTGTCTCTGCAAAGCATTATCTCGTTTACAAAAGAACAAAGGCTGCTACGAATGGCTGAAGAGTCGGATTATCACTCTGTACGTACTTATTTTCAATTTCTAGCAAAAGAAAGGGATAGAAGTTGTCCTTATCTTGCACCAATCCGTGAAGACTTACACCAACTCTGCAGGTATCGCAAAATCTCTCTAAATGGAAATTCGCTGTAGCGAAGTTTCCTCGCTTTCCTATATGCCTCAACACGTTGTCCCTAGTAGACTGATGAGCATGCACACGGAAACGATTCCGCTTTCTGCTCGTCACTGCGCAGGAAGTGATCGAGATAATTCTTGAGAATTTCACACATTGCTCATTGTCAATCGAATTAAAACAGTTATTTGTTAAGATAGTAATTGAAAAAATTTGTGTCATTTAGTACTAAAAAAAATTGTACAAAATAATTGTTTTAATTTCCTACAAATAATATTAAAAAGTTGCGCCAACTGAATAAAAATTTTTACTATAAAATAGACATATTTCTTTTTTATTTTCAATATTAAAAGAAAAATGATATTAAATAAATTGTAATATATCTATTATAAAAAATCAAATTGAAAATATGAACAATCACATACATTGCAATAATCATATGCATATATCCTGAAAAGTTTAATTAAAAAAAAATAGAAAATGATAATACAAAATACAAAATACAAAATTATTAAAAAAATTAAAAATTAGAAATTAATAAATAAAAAATAAAAATTTATATAAAAATTAAAAATTAATACATATAAAAAAATTTTAGTTAAAAAACTTAGCGCTGCTAATTTCATTAGCACATTGTTCAGCATTGCAGCTATTTATATATATATATATATATATAATATATATATATATATATATATATATATATATAATTTTACTACCCGCGCGAGTGTTTTTCTGATCTCTGTCTGGTAGTTGAAAACTTTTGTAACTCTCTTGGGATTTGTTGGCTCGTCTGGACTTACGTGTCTAAATCTATAGGTTACGAAACTATCTTTGAAGTGTGCAGACAGATCATGCGAAAGACAGGTGAGGAAAATGTAATAGTTCAACTGTTAACAAACTACGTAGATAATTAGCATTAATTTTTTTTAACACTAATCAGTTAATATTTATAGCATAATGTATCTCAGTATTTTAGGGAACAGGCAATATAATTAAGAAATAGACCCTAAAATGGCGCTGTTAGCAAGGCACTGACGAGTCATCTCGATTGTTTTGACTGACCACACACACACGCGCGCGCGCGCGCATACACACGAATAATTGGAAAACGTTGAATACCAACACGATGCCTAAAAGAGTGGCAAAAAAAATAATAGGCACAAACGTTCGCACCGACAGATGTTTCAATCCTTTTGATTTGAGTGGTCACTCAAGTAAAGCGCTGCGATTGCGAAAAGTTACCAAAGATCAACTACGTCAACTTAATGTACCAATAACTGCTGAGGCATTAAAACAAACAATTTGCGATTCCTGTCGTCTGCGCATCTCAAAAAGTATAAACGAAAATAAAGATACAGATGCAATTGAAATGGTATTAATTATACGACATGAAGTCTATCGAGTCTATTTACTTTTTAATCAATTTTCGATGCTCATATAAATTTTTTATTCTTTACAGCAAGAACATGAAAAAGAACCATCTAATGAAGAATCTGATGTAAAATCGAGTAGTGAAGGAACCTCGGGATTTTCAGGTGGAAACGAAAAGTTTTTGAATGACAGAGTTGATCGTTTAAATGAAGGATTACGTTTCTTGGGAGCATCACCTATTAAAAAACGCAAATTAACTCAAAAACGTTATTCCGAGGAAAAAATTAAAAAAATTACGGAGGCGATTAAGAAAAAAGTTTTTCATGCAAACGACGATGGTCCAGATGATGTTGGTGAAGATGATGATGATGATGTCACAATTTTAAGAACCTTACAAGAAAGTTTCAATACCAGTACAGACCGATCTCATAAAGTTAAAATTTTGACTATTTTCAGACACTGGTTTTATCAGAAAATCCAGGTGCACTTTCCCACAGCTACTCGCCATATGATAACTATTGCAAAAAATATTGCTAAAGATAAAGGAATATTAGGCGATCCAAATCCCAAAAGCCATCCATCTTTAGGAGCAGATGTTACAAATAGCATAATGAACTTCTATCAGTCTGATGAACACACACAAATTATGCCCGGGAAAAAAGATTTCGTCTCCGTGATAGTGGATGGATACAAAATACAGATGCAAAAACGCCTGATTTTAAATAATTTGAAAGAATTGTATGAACTATTTAAAAAAGATTATCCAGAAATGAAGTGTAGTTTTTCAAAGTTTAGCAGTATGCGACCAAAACACTGTGTGCTGGCAGGAGCCAGTGGCACTCATTCGGTGTGTGTGTGTCCGATACACGAAAATATTAAACTCTTGATAGATGGGGCGAATTTGAAATGTATCACAGCTGACTCCAAAAGACCAATTACTAATTATCATGATTGTTTGGATCGTATGATGTGTGATGTTCAATCTACTAATTGTTTTTTGGGATTATGTGATAAGTGCCCTGGTGTAGAAAATATTATTGAAGAATTACAACAAACTTTCAATGACAAACTCATCGAAAATGTTAAGTACAAACAGTGGGTGACAATAGACAGAACTTCACTACAAACTTTAATATCTACTGTAGATGAATTTTTACAACTTTTAAGTAATGGCTTGAAAAAATTACTGCTACATTCTTTTTTAGTTAAAAAACAAATGGAATTCTTGAACTATAAGAAAAAAAATATAATGAAAAATGAATGCATTGTTATATGTGATTTTAGTGAAAATTATGCATTTGTATTACAAAATTCTGTACAAGGTGTGCACTGGAATAATGATCAAGCAACTATACATCCATTCTCAATTTATTATAAAGATAATGAAGGTGAAGTAAAAGTCAAAAGTTTCGTTTCCATTTCTGAATGCTTACATCATAACACTATTGCTGTTCATCTCTTTCAAAAACAACTAGCTGAAATTATAAAAACGAATTTGAAAGGTGTTGATAAAATAATATATTTTTCGGACGGTGCAAGTATAAAAACAAGAAAAATTTTATAAACATTACTCATCATTTACAAGATTTTGGAATAGCAGCCGAATGGCATTTTTTCCCAACGTCCCATAGCAAGGGACCATGTGATGGAATAGGTGGAACGTTAAAACGACTTGCTGCTAGAGCTAGTCTTCAAAGGATAAATAATCCTATTCGAACACCCCAAGAATTATTCACTTGGGCAACAGAAGCTTTGCATAATATAACGTTCGACAAATGATGAGTATGAAAAAGAAGAACAAATGTTGTCAGCACGTTTTCAAAAAGTTCTAACGATAAAAGGCACTTTACAGTTTCATTGCATGATTCCAATCTCTCTTCAGATACTAGAAGCTAAAAAATTTTCATTAGATGATAAAAAAACAATTGTAAAAATCTTTAAATAAACATTCAGATGTTTATATTAAGATAGCATTGTACATTTAAAAATAAGGTACATATTAGGCATTAATGAATAAGAGTAATGTTTAAAAATAGAAATAAATATGTTTTTTCATATGCTAACACGTTATTATTTTGTTCAATTATTAATAAAGTATTGTTTGCTAATAATAATTATTACTCGATTGACAAAATGGAAAATGTTGAATAATCATTAACGTTACTGAGAAAAACGATGTGGAGTTAGAAAATGAGACGTGCAGAGGTACCTATGCGCTGATACGACGTGCCGCGCTAGATAAATTAATTTATCTCTACCAGTAAACATAATTTCTCCATTAATAAAATACATGTTTTTTATAGAAAATTTGACGTAGAATACGATGGTTGTATTAAGAAATTGTTAAAATTTGGGGGCCATGGTTAAAAATTGATTTAAACATTTCAATTGTTTATAACAATATGAAATTTTTTATAAATTTTTTTGAAACTATTTTTTTCTTAATTCACTTATTCATTTAATTTTTTCAAAATTCACTCTTTTATCTTCAAAATGAAAAAAAAAAGTTTTCTCTAGCTTAAAAAGAACCGGAGTTATGAATTTTTGAAAATGAGTCTCCAAGGCAAAAATCACGAAAATCTCAAACTTTCAACCTCCTCTATTTAAAAAAAAAAAAAAAAAAAAAAAAAAAAAAATTCCTTGAACACGTATCATTTTTTTTTCGACATAGAACCCGTAAAAAAAGTTTCAGCCAAATAAAAAATGTGTCAGTCAGAATGGTGTTCGGTTTGTAAAAGAATTACCCATATATATATATAATTATCATTATACATGTAGGGAATATTTCTGCGTAACTATATTTGTGTCTATGCAGGCAAATGTAATAAATGTCTATAATTATTGTTGTAACTATAATTATGGTTACACAGTAAAATATAATTATGGTTGCACAGTAAATTTCTACACACACATACATGTGTGTGTGTGTGTGTGTGTGTGTGTGTGTGTGTGTGTGTGTATACAATAATTATGTACTATAGAACTATAAAGTTATAGATATACATACTTATATATAATTATGTATACATAAATAATCTTTTTCTGCGTAATCATAACTTGTATGAATAGATTATTTGGAAGAATAAGGTTTATATGTTGCATGGAAGTAGGAAAAGGGTAACATCATATTTGTAAAATTGGAAATATATTTTAAGTTGTGGGAGGATGTACTATATATGTTGATGCTGCCTTATAAAATAATATTTATTACGATACGCAACAAACTTGTATTAAACTTTTATGGTAATTATTATTATTATATTATTATTATTAATAAATTTTTCTATTTCTGGATCATTGAAAAAATTGTAGTCGACTAAACTAGCCAAAAATTGAGTTTATTATAATACGACGTTTCGACCATATGGTTGTGGTCCTTATCAAGTGTACACTAAAAAAGATTTATAAATAAATAAATTAACGGTTTGAATACATAGCAAAGCACGACGAATTGGAGTGTGAAAAGATATTTACCGATGTAATAATAATCAGAAGGCAAGCATCACTAGCAAACCAATAAAAACAACGCAATCACGTAATACAAAAAAAACGTTATCTAACTAAATTCAAAATTAGAGAGAAGCTGATGCGTTCGTGTGAGACTTCGTCAAGAAACTAAACATAACCAGAGGAACAACGATATTAAGTGACCTTTATAATTTTGTCGTAAATATTATTTAAACTATCTGTGTCTTTCTGTAGGTTGATTAGATTTTTAAATCTCTTGATAAAGAACATCTCAGCTATCTCTCTTTTGCTAACATACTTTTCATTATGCAAGATATTCGGTTTCGACCAATCAAAATCGTGTCCGGATTCCAATCTGTGTTTGCTAATAACGGAGTGATTAGACTCATGTAGCTTTATATTGTTACAATGTTCCTTCACTCGGGTCCGCAAATGTCTTTTTGTTTGCCCAATATATGACAGATTGCAATCATTACAATATAATTTATATACAACACTTGTCTTGTCATTGTTGTGTAAGCTGTCTTTGCCACATCTAATTAAGTTATTTAGTTTTTTTGTTACTTTGTAGATGACGTTGAAACCACTGTTTCGTAGAAGACGGTAGAGATCTTGACTAGTATTCTCTACGTATGGTACAGAGATAAAATGAGTTTTGTCTGGATCAGTAGAGTTGACGTCAACAGTATCGTTACGGTCACGGTTGTTTAAAAAATTGATTCTTTTTCGGATGTGTCTATGAATGATGTGTTCAGGAAAACAATTATTAAGTAACGTATCGTATACTAACTTAATATTCTCTTGTTTGAAGCAGTCGTCAGATAATAAAAAGGCGTGGTCAATTAAATTATAAATAGTATTAATCCTATATTTTAACGGGTGATTCGAGTAAAAATTGATGTATCTACCGGACCACGTAGATTTCCTAAACCAATTAGTAATGAGTTTTGTTCCCAACCGAATGATTTTAACATTGAGAAAACTAATAGAAGAATCAATTTCTTTCTCATATGTGAATCTTAAACGTTCGTGATAGTTATTAAAACTGGTTAAAATGTCGTCAATTTTTGTGCATGGTACAATAGTAAAAACATTGTCTACATATCTATAATACATGGGGACAGCGAAATTCAGTGAGTTTAAACATTGTGTCTCTAGATCGTCCATCACCATATCTGCCAAGATAGGTGAAAGTGGAGAGCCCATAGGTGTGCCGAAGATCTGTTCGTAAAAACGTCCGTTAAAGGAGAAGCAAGTAGAGTCTAAAATCAAGTCAATTGCAAATAAAAATTGAGATAAGTTGAATTTAGTATTTTTTGCAATGTGGTCCCAGTGCTTTTTAATGGCATTTTCAACCAACTCCTTTGGAACGTTTGTAAATAACGAGATCACATCCAACGAAATCATAATGTTATCTTCATTAATTACTGTATTCTTAATATTCTGGACAAAGGACCAACCATCTTTAATAAATGAATTTGGTTTCTTTATCGATTTATACAAAATGTTGTGGATGTAACTCGAAACGTTGTATACGAGACTTCCCAAAGCAGATACAATGTATCCTCCCACAACTTAAAATATATTTCCAGTTTTACAAATATGATGTTACTCTTTTCCTACTTCCCTGCAACATCTAAACCTTATTCTTACACACACACACACGCGCGCGCGCGCGCGCGCCCACGCACACGCACACGCACACGCACACGCACACGCACACGCACACGCACACACACACAATTATAAATTACACAATTATATTCCACAAAATAATAACTGTTTATTCTTTTTATTAATATAATATGTCTAATCTAAACATCTAATCATCTAAACATCTAAACATCTAATCATCTAAAATGAGACATATTTTTCGCAATATTTACCTTTTAATTGTTGAATCACAGTCCACTTAGTTGTCGTTAAGTGTCACAAATCTATATTTTTATATAATATTAATAAATGTACTTGGCGTCGCGACGCTACTGTGCCGCTTGATAATAACTTTTAATATGTCACTTCTCTTCCTTTGTACTGTAAGATACCTGGTATAGGTTATACGAAGGAATATCTTAGATGGTGGTGTCAGGATAGGAGGGCTTCAGAGAAGGGAATTTTCCAATTAAGGTTTCTTAATAATTGGGACACTGAGTCTAATATACTCGTTTAATCTTATCACAAGGTTTATCACTTGACCATGACTACACTGTTCGACTCCCATGCTGCGACTCTCTTCCGCGTGTCACTCTCCACCACAATCGTTCCACGGCTGTGTTCTAAAATTCACTGCCAGCGCTGTAATCGTTACGTCATAAAGCATGCTATCAACAGCGTTCCATTTTATGAAAGCGTGCTGTAAGCATGGACGTAAGAAATACTGGACAAAGCATAAAGTACTCTTTTAGACGAGGGGAGTGAAATCTGAAGGGTAAGGGGTTTATTGTCGCGGCCATCTTAGATGTATCAGATTTAGTGTCTATTTTCACGTCGCACGGACGTAAATCGAATAAAATATGAGAGATTCCGTGAAATCATCTATCATCTGAAATCGCTGTGTTATTCCGAATCATTTTTGAATATTAAGAAATTCAAAAATATCACACTCCGTGAAATTAATATCCGTCGCCATCTTACATGCCTCATATTCCATTGCAGTAGACATTTCTTTCCCCTCACCCTTTGAGCTTCATTCCCGCAGCAATATACTCTGTCCAGTATTTCTTACGTCCATGGCTATAAGTATGAATACGATGTTCAAAACGGAACGCTACTTCAGTGCTGGCAGTACTAGCAATTGAGTAATCTATTTAACTTAGAAATATGGACAGGCGACAACAATTTTTGATTGGAATGTATTTAAATTTAATATTTGAAGAATCAGATGAAGACTCAAGCGATGAATCTGATTTGGAAGAAGTTATAAATTTAATAAAAAATTATTTCGAACGTTCCAACGTACCTAAAGTACGTTGCAATAATTATATCGTAGTTTGACAATGTACAGATAGTGATTTTAAAAGTCATTTTCGATAAGTAATTTATTTGATAAATTATTATTGATTATTTAATTAATATTTAATCAATCTTTTTGTGAAGAAATATAATTTATAATTTATAATTTTATATAAAAGTTCCATGTTGTTTTAATTTATTTTAATGTGTTTTTCTGTCTTAGTCGATCAACGTTTATATTTTTGTTGGAACTATTAAGTCCACAATTAATAAAACAATCCGAAGGACGAGGTAGACATACTATCAATTCAGAAAAAACAATATTGTTAGAAATATGAATGATGGCAATTCCTAATTCA